ATTCTATTCTATTCTATTCTATTCTATTCTATTCTATTCTATTCTATTCTATTCTATGTGAAGGAGGAGAGGAGGCAGCCATTTTGAGGGGGGAAGGGGAACAAACTTGTTTTGCTCAAAACCAATTCTTAATATTTGCCCTTCTAGCAGAATTGCCTGTTGCCTACTGTATCCCTCTAGTGCAGGGGTCGCCAACCTTTTGGACCTCAGGGACCACCAAACTCATCATTTTAAATCCCGCGGACCACTAATATGAATTTTGACTGACGGTGGCTTGCTGACATTTTTCCAGGGTCTCTGTAGAAAGCAGCAGAGACCCTGGGAAAATCCCCCAAAAAGTCTGCAGGAAAATTCCCCACCACGTTTTCCTACCAATCGATAGTTCTTTATTTGGGATCGCAGGATACCGTCTCCAGCTCCATTCTCAGGGGGGAGAAAGAGAGAGACTTTTGGCTTCATGCAAGGAAAGCAGCAGAAGCAGCAGAAGTCTTTCTTTCTCTCCCCCAAACTCCACCAAAAATGAATCTTTGTGTGACTTGCTGGCACAGCCTCTTGGAGCAGGATGCCTTGCAGGGTCCCAAAGACTCATTTCTGGCAGAGTTTTGGGGAGAGAAAGACAGACTTTTGCTGCTTTCCTTGCGTGCAGCCAAAAGCAGAAGAAGAAAGAAGCGGAAAGAAGTTTCCCCCCTCTGCCCTTTCCCCCCCTCCCCTCACTACCTTGTGTTGCTCACAATGCAAGGGACGCAACCCTTGTGTTTCTGCCGGCCATGTGGGTGGCGCAGCCTTGTGTTACCGCGCAGCCTGGATAAATTCCTTTGGGGGTGACATTTCTCTGCGGACCACCAAAATTTTCTCGCGGACCACCAGTGGCCCCTGGCCCACTGGTTGGCAACCACTGCTCTAGTGAAGATTCTTACAGAGGGTTTCCAATTCTCGCTTTTTCCTACTCCTGTTCTCCAGAAAATAATTTTGCCTCATCATCCCCTCTAACCCTAACCCTAGCCCTTCGGCCAGCTCTGGAAACATTATTTTTCATCTGGTAGGTCCCTGGTTGACTATTCCAATCACATTAGAAGTCTCCCAACCCTTCTTTTTTTAATCATTTATGATTCAAGCTATATCAATCCTAGTTTTCCCATCCAAAAAGGATAAAATAAGAAGATGAGAGAAATAACAGCACATTAGCCAAGTACAACCAATCGGAAAGAACACAGGGAAAACATTTCAACAGAGAGAGAGAAAAGAGAGAAGCCGGAGCTAAGCAATTCACAAAAACAGATAACAGGAAAGTGTTTTCTTATCTATATAGGGATCTATTCGGGGCCTCGTCCCTTACTCAACCCCCATACTTTCACTCATACTTCATTTGTTCAGGAAAAGGGAGGAGGCCAGGAGTAAAGTCTGCAAAACCCAAATCCATCAAGTTCTGGGCAATATTTGGCAGTATGCTTGCTCCTCTGGGTATTCAACAGGTGAAGCATTTCCCAATCTGGGGAAAGAAGCTTCCTCTTGTCAGAACAGACAGTTCTTATCCCAAACTCCCGGCACCCAGGCATCTTGTTCCCAAATTTCCCCCTCTGGAGAAAGGTGGGAAAGGCCTTTATAAGTAGTCCTCAACTTACGACCACAATAGAGCTCCCAAATGATGTTGCTAAGTGAGAAATGTGTTGAGTTTTGCCCCATTTTATGAATGTTGTTAAGTGAATCACTGCAGCTGAAAAATGAAGCGAATCCGGATTTTC